TATTCAGTTGCTAGAGTTAGACCTAATGGAACAAGGTATGTGGATGTTGATTTTGTTGAACATGCTTTAAGTGAAGAAAAAGGTGTTCAATCTAGCAATGAGCCTTCATTAGAAGCACTTGGTAATGATTCTACTTTGGGGGTGTTATAGCCCATTTTGGTTAATTCAAAGTTCTATTTGAAAGCCTATTGGGAGTTGGAAATTGATATTAGACTTAAAGAAGAGTTAGAAATGGAGAAAAACACTTTGAAAGCATGTTTTGGAATATTAATCCAAAACCTAGCGCTTGAGCGCTGCTACAGTACCTGATCGCGATTTTTCTCTCCTACCTCGTTTTGGCCTCTATTTTTGGTATCATACTTCATCAACAACTCTACCAAAAGGGTTTGGACGTCCCCTAAATGTTCCCTATAAATATTAGGCTCTTCTATACAAGTTTTGGTAACAATTACATGTGAGAAAATAGATTACTAGAATTATAGGATCTATTGTAATTTTCTATTTTTTCCATTATTCTTGAATCAATAAATCTCTTAATTTATCTGCCATATTCTTGTCTTCTTTANTTGAATCAATGAAATCTCTTAATTCTTCTGTCATATTTTAGTCTTCTTTATTCTTTTACTTGATCAAATACTTCATTATTATTTGTCATATAACTTCAATATCTCAATCAGGTGATTGGCGTCACAACAAGTGGTATCAATCCTATCATAGTTTAACACTTTAACGAGTGTTTCTAATCAAATTAGGTAAAAAAAAAAAATTAAATTAAATGGAGCCTCTTAATGTATGTAATCTCTTAATTTGTTTTCTAGTTGTGTAACTTTTGGTGATGGTTACCTTGTAACTATAGAGAGTTTGATCGCCTTGTCATGGTTGATCAATTAATCACTGTTTTTAATCCCATATTGTTACATTCCATTGAACTGGTAATAATATAACTAATGTTTTTCCAAGCAATTGCGTGTACAATTGAGATATGTTTTCATGACATTGATATGATCTTCAATTAGATCTATTTTCATGACATTGATATGATCAGAATGAGTACATGTATATGATCACCATTCTTAGATTTATGTATGATAGAATTTGTGGTATGTGACTATAATTAAATACATTGATATGTCCTCCTCAAATCGCCTACAGAAGGACTTATATATTTCTTAATAATTTGATTTATATTCAATATAGAACATGTGTGGTCACAAAGTCAAGAATAAGGAACCAATGTCATAGTCAGACGAAAATGAACACGATTTTATCGAAATTCTTTACGAGAAAGTGAAATCAAACACATTGTAATATTCTACATTCACGAAAAACGAATGAGACAGAATCAATGAAATCATGATAGCTTCAAAAAAAAAATGGATTACAGCATAGATACATTAAAGGGAAAATGTTGCCAAACTTCCTCTGGAGCATTAACTTTATTGGTTTTTGGATCCCATGTAATACTTGTATGTCCCACTTGCTGTTTTAATTTGATATGTTGAAAGTTGAAGTACTATGTTATATTCACAGCTCCAAGAACTTTTTTACATTTCTTGGTAATGTTGTATTGTTTTCATTTATGAACTTAGTGACGTTGTTAGTTGTAGAACTGATGTTGTTAATTTTTCTTTAATTTCTAAATACTTGATTGCTTGTTTTATTTGAATCAATGATGGTTGATATGACTTGTGATAATTACTGTGGATATATGTTGTTCACGATATGGCCAATGAATCAAATGTGGATGATAATGTCAGTGCTGATGATTCTATTGATGAAGATTTTAGTGATGATGATTTGTTATATATAGATGATTTTGATGCAAATTTTGGAGAATTAATGATGTTTAATTGTTTTTTTTTTTTGCCAACAAAGGAAGTATCATCGGCATGAGACCTTGTAGAACATCATTTCTTGCGGGAAGAATATACATGTTAGAAATTCTGAATCGACATTTAGATGTGTGCTATCGTAATTTTTGTATGCAGAAACACGTTTTCATTAATTTTTGTGATATTTTGAAAGAGAAAGGATTGTTGAAAGATGAAAAAAAAATTGAGCGTTGAGGAGGGTGTTGCTATGTTTATGATGATTATAGGGCACACTATACGATACAATATTATTGATGATAGATTCAGCATTCCACTACACGATATGGTGTTATTGATGATAAGTTTCATCTTAATTTCTTCCAGTAACTTTAATTGTCTTTATTCAACATATAAATGGCTTTTTTATGTTCTGAAAATCTTTGCATATTCAGAAAAAATTTCTTCCACTGTAGTCATAGTGAAAAATGTTTGTTACACGAGAATTCAACACATTTAATACACTAGCATTACCTTAAAAAAATTTAGTAAACGCGTTTTTCAGTTTTCTGTTTTGAGAAATAGCTTTTTCAGAATAACAAAAGAACGTATGTTTAGCGACTTCAAAACAGATACTC